AGCCCCTCAGTCCCTCCAGGGAGCCTCGGGCTCCTCTGCATCTGCGGGGGTCCCAGCACTGCCCTCCCCCACTCAGGTCCCCCAGTGAGAGCTCTTTGTGTTTTGGGAGCCAGCCTGGGGGTTTAACGCAAGGGTGAGGGATGAACTTCTGTTAGCAGTGAGAAACGTTTCTTTGGAAGTTGTGGGAACAAGGACTGATCAAGACCGTCCCCGTGTACCTCCTGCAGCGTCATTGCCGACCTACGCTGGGAAAGACCCTCAAGACACAGACACACACACATTCACACGGAAGCACACACACAAGAGAGAAATACACACATAAAAACATCCACACAAGGACCCACACAGGCGCTTTCTCGCCCCAGGCCCGTCTGGAAGGAGAGCACCCCGAGAGCCCACTCCCACCCTCTTGGAGAAGCCCCATGTGTCTGGCACATGGGCGCCCACGCGCACCTTCACGGAGTAGGCGAACGCCACAAACCCCAGGCAGCAGCAGTTCAGGAAGACCGTGTTGAAGAGGGACCAGACGACATGGTCAGGCACGGAGGTCTCGCTGTGGATGCTGATCACGGTGGACGTCATGGGTGCCGAACTGCGGGGCGAAGGGCTGACGGGCGCCCCCAGCACGGCCACCTCGTTCTCCTCCTTGAGCAGCTCATAGGATGTTGGGAGGCCGGTGACGGCGTGCGGGAGGAAGCTTTGGGAAGTGAGGTTCATGGTGCCGAAGGATGACCAGCAGTCAGTGGGGTCTGGTGTTGGGTGGCTCTTCCAGAACCTCCTTTCCCCGCAGTAGTTTCGATTTCTCAGAAGTTTCAATTTCCTGGCATTGAAGAGTTGGGATTGGCCACAGACTAAGGAGGTGGGACACATTCCAGAGGCTCAAGTTACTCTGGGGCTGAGGGTGGGGAGGAAAGGGCTGAGGACTAAGGAGGGGTCCTATTAGGTCAGGAAGTGGTTCAGATGGAGCCACACCCCCATTTAGGGCGTGGGTGGGCCCTGGGAACATTTTACTGGACTAAGGGTGGCCCCAGCTGGCCTCTCTCCGGCGCCCAGTCTACTACAGGCCCTCATTGCCCGCTTACAAGATCTCTGCCATGCCCCCCCGCCCACGTGCACACACTCCATGGCCCAGGAGAGCCCAGCCCCCAGAAGGAGGTGGACCCCAGAGGAAACTGAGCCCCCGGGGAGCCCTCCAAAGCCCCGCCCACCTCCCTAGCCTCGCCCCAACCTCCGCCCTCAATTGTCCCGTGGACGCACGCAGGCTCCCCGCCGCTCACATCTGAACCCTCGGCCGGTGGTGCAGTCCCGGACTGGGGCCTGCTGCTCCTCTGGGCCTGGATGAGCCCGGCGATCTACACCCAGGGCCTCCAAACTGACAAGTCCACCCTCATGACGCATCAGGCCTCGCCAGCAATTTTTCAAAGGCTCCGCATCACCAATTCCTTGCTGGCTGTACGAGGGTGTCTCGTCACCCGGCCGGACCCTCTTGGGCGTCTGAAGTTAGCACAGCTCAGGTGGGCTTCTGGCCCAAAACCAACCGCGCCAGGCTACCCTGAGCACCGCCCTTCCTAGGGGACATTGGACACGACCACCCCGCCGGAGTCTGGTCCTGGGGCAGCTGGTGGCACAGATCCTGCGCCGGCCGGCCGCAGGTAGAGGGCGCCATGGCGCAGCTCCCGCCCCCACCCCCACACGTGGGTGTTCCTGCTCCCACCCAGGAGGGGCTGGTGCGCCCTCTCTCCCCTTGTGCTCACATCCGTGGAACTCAGGGGTGAGCAGGCGTCGTTATGCATGCCCCTCAGCCACAACAGAGCACCCCTCTACGAAGGGGGGAGGGGGGTGAAAAGTGAGGGGAAGGATGGGGTCCAGGATGGACATGGAAAACATAGGGTGACAAGTCACTGGCTTCAGCAGACAGGACCAGCTATCAGACGTCCCTGCTCCTGCAACCAAGACAGGCTCCCGATTCCCCAGAGGGCGGTACATCTGTGCCAGAAGGGCTCACTCTCTGAGACAAGCGTGAGGCCGGCCACGAGGAGGGTCCCAGGATGGCCTGGGTCCCCCAGACATCTCACCACCTCCCCAGGGAGACTGCCCCCACCCACCCACCCCACTGTACAGGAGGTGGAGGGAGGGCCCTCATGCACCCTCTGCCCTTGCCCCAGCCAGGAGGCCCGCTCCCCACCCTGCTCCATCTCTACCCCAGGCATGTTCTTTCCCTGGATATGGGCGAGGAGGGCCCCCACCTCCCCATATGCAGCACCCAACCCAGCAGAGGCCCAGGTCCAGCGCCTCAGTGTCCTCAATGCGCCAGAGATCCTCACTGAAGGGGCTACAGCCTTTGTTTCTAGGAATTGGTCCCCCAGTCCGACTCACTGGGGCTCCACCAGCTGAGTCAGGGAGAGCTGGCAACACTCCACCCCAGGGGGAACTGAAGTCTCATCCCAACATCACGGAGCAGGAGGAGCAGCCAGCTGGGGGCATCCACCTTCCCTTCGGTGTCCCTAGCCTCGGCCAGAGAAGGGCCCTGCAGAAGCAAGTGCTCTCCCTTCTCTCTGGTCCAGAGAAAAGGGATCCCTAAGAGCCCTGCCCCATTCACAGCCTCAGCTCAGGCTCAGGACCAGGCTGGAGACTCAAGGCAGGGCCCCCTCCCTGGGGGATGTCACAGCACTGTTACACACACAGGCACTTTATTGAATTTGTTTATAAACAGATGCAAATGTGAAAACTGCTGTTAAAAGGGGCAGAGGGGTCAATAGGCTGGATGCAGGGCCAACAGGGGAGGGCTGGAGGGCTGGAGGGCTCCCCCAGAGAAACAGGCAGTGGCTAATAGCCTTGAGGGTTCTTGATCATCTGTTAAGCGATTTGGAAGCGTATCACTGAACGAGTAGCTATAATAATGATGCAAGTGATGGTCAATAGGAGGCCGAAGACCAGGGCGCCGATGTTCAGGCACTTGGCGGTGGAAGCGTAGCTCTGGGCCCCCGTCAGGTCGCCCGCCATCTTCCGGTCCCTAGACTGGGGGAGATGAGATGATGACAGGACCTGGGGAGGACCTGCTGGGAGCCAGGAGCTCATGGTGGCACTCAGGTTCCCCCCCCCAAGTCCTCCATCCACAGTGGAGCCTCTACTAGCCCTCACCCACATCGGGGTGCCCCACCACTCCTTGGAGCCCAAGCCAGGACACTTTCTGTCCCTCCCTGCTGGGGGAGGGACCTCCTCACAACCCCTCACTCCCTCCAGGGAGCCTTAGGCTCCTCTCCCTCTCCAGGGGTCCAGTAAGGCCCCCCACC